GCACCGTGGGGGTGCAGGTTGTTAGCATTAAGTAGTGGTTTGAATTGGAGGACTGGCAAAGGGGAAATTAGCAGGTCCCATAGGGGATCAGTGAGGGCAGGTCACTGGGGCAACATGAGGAGATAGTAGATGGGGGCATGGTAATGTCCTCCCTCTCCACAGCTCCTGTCCCCACTTGCCAGCAAGGGTGGCAGGAAGTTACAGGGACTGGGAAGAGGTGGGAGAGGACAGGGCAGGGTGAAGGGTGGGTTTAGCACCCTAAAGCCTCCGGTCACCCCGGGAAGGTCAGTCCAGTACATGCCGGGTGTCAGAAAGTGTCCCCCCACCCGCCCCAGTGAAGCCAGGGCACTTACAAGATAGTAATCTCCAAATTCAGATTGTCAGTCACCAGGCCAAGCTGTGATGGATGGTCCCTTCTAGACCACAAGGCCTGTCTCGGGGCCCCAGGTCTTGAGAGAGCTTCCCTCCAGAAAGAAAACTCACTCTCCCCAAAGTGCAATGACTTTTTAAAGGGGAAGAAGGATTTTTTTCTGGGATCCAAGCCCCGACTCGTCAAACCCAGCAAGAGCAAAAACATTAAGGCCAAATACCCTGAAAATTGCAAAACTGTTTCAGGCTAATTTGAGTCTGGCTGTTAGAAACCTGTTTCCTCTATGGCTGCTGTCAATCTATGTTTAACTTTGCGGTGACAGTCACAGGGGAAAAAAATTGGAAAAAATAGTAGCAAGGACGTTCAGTCTCCCTCCCTCCCTCCCTCCCTCCCTCTCATACATATGCACACACAGCCATGTATTACACATACGTATCTACACACACACACACACACACACACACACACACACACACACACCTGACAGAGGGTCAAAACATGTATCAGATCTTCTTTTCTTTTCTTTCTTTCTTTTCCTCTAAGAAAGCATAGGCTCCTACAGAAAGGACAGGAAGTGTTAGACTCTCCCTGCTGGAGAGTAGATCCTGTGGGGGAGATTCCTAAGCTCTGCGTAGTTAGGATCTTAGGGCCCATCCAGCCTGGCTAGATCTGGGGAACATGAGCACACTCTTGTCTCTGTCCTTCTTTCCGTCTCTTTCTTTGCTTTATTGAGGCATAACCGTCCAACAATAAACTGCGATATGTGAAGCGTACAGTTTGGCCAATTTGACAGGTATGTTATACCCACAAGACTATCATCGCGACCTCTTGTGAATCTACCTGACACGCTCAGGTTTCTGTTATTTCTTTCTTTCTTTTCTTTTTTTTTTTTTT